AAAAAAAAGATGAAAGCACAAAGCAGCCGATTAAACCCACGGACCTTGGTGGCGAGCTGCTTTCTCGGCGCTTTGCCACCGGTGGATTTGCGGGCCGTTTGCTTGGTACGGGCCATCGATCTTCAAGCGAGCAGGGTTTCTTCGCCGGAGAATTTTTTCTTAAAATTGGGAAAATTAGGTATTAGAATAAGAGTTGGATTAGATTAGAGATGGAGGCCCTTATATATAGGGAGTGGGGTTAGTGGGCCGGTTTTTAAACTTGGGAAAGTTTTCCTTTTAAAACTTGGAAAAGTATTATAATAACGGTTTTGTGATTAACAAAAATAATAAAAAAAAAAATGTGTGGATCCTTGAGATCGTTTTTGACGCATCTCATTGGCTGATGTGAATGAATGTACGGCTGAGATTGGTCCTTTTGGGGATGACACGGATAGGAACCGAGTTGTGTTTTTTCTGTCTCTGTAATTTTGGATTTTGAGTTAATAGTGTCAACTCGTCCGAGTCTTGTACCACAGAAAGCGAGTTCTTTTTACACAATTTAAACCAACTTTTTTGTACACAAGTAGAACAAAATTGGGGCTTGATTGTTTACGAAATAATTTGTTCAAATTGAATTATTTTGGTTAATTATAGTTAATTTTGAAAAAGGTAGTATGGTTAGTTGTAGTAGAATTTTAAGAATGTATTAAAATAATAATTAAAATAAAATAATTAAAATTGATTTGATATAAAAGTAAGAGATAAATGATTGGAAATGATTGTAAATGATAGGTAGTTAAAATTATGTGAGTGGATGAATAGTGAATTAAAGTTGATGTGATGTGTAAGAATGATTTGTTTGTATTATTTAATTATATGAATAATATTAAAGATAGTGGGATTGAGTAAAAGTTGAGTTAGATTTTGAGTTGAAATAAAAGTGAGTAAATTATTTTGTAAACAATCACCCCCTTAGTGATTTCATTTAAATGTTAAATACTTTTTAAAAAGTTGTTTTTCTATTTATCTTAAAAATTATATTTTCACTTATTTCATGTGACCTTTTTGAATTGATGATATATCGTTTTATTAATTATTAATTCGTATTAATAAATAATTTAATTTTATAAGAAAAAATAAAGCTATATATTTATTTTATATATGTAATATGCACATGAAATCGAAGATCGGAAAAAAAATGATAAGTTTGATATATTTTATACAAAAAAAATATTAGCTTTTATATATGTTTACAATTCAAGTTAGACAATTGTTTAAGTTTAAAAGTTCTAATATACATGCATAGAAATCCACATCTATTTGTACTGCTCCATACCAACATATAAGATTACGAAGGACCGAAATCGGATACATAGATTACGAGACACCCAAAAATTGACACGCATGATCAAAATATTTTGCATTAATATATAGGGATGGATAATGTTATATAAAAACCATACATAATATAATTTATTAATTCAATTAACAACCACAATTGTATCAAATGTTAAAATTTATTTAAAAAAAATAAATAAATAACTCATGACGAGACGAAAAAATGAGGATTTGATTTATCAATTTTTTATAACTGTTTTATCGGAAATTGTTCAACGGACAAAATGAGGTTTTCATTAAGAAAAAATCATGTTTGTTTTTCAATGATCAAGATATCATATTTTTTATCAGGATATGACATTGAAAGTTGGTAAGACGAGTTTTCTAATGAGGTAGGTCGTATGAAAGTCCAACGATGGGTTTTTGGATGGTATCCGAAAAAAAATTAGATATATACCAGTTTATTTAACTGCTGATATGAACATAACCGTTCCATTTTTATAAGACCTACCACGTTAGAAATCTCATCTTGTAAGTTCTTTAATAAGACCTCCCAATTAAAAACTGGATGTTTTGATAACTTAAAATATCAAAGAAAATAAAAATCTATGCACATGTGTCAGCTTATTCTTTGTTGACTGATTCACCAATGACTCAATTGTCATAAACTGATAAATTCTACAATATTTTCTTCGTCTCGTAATGGGCTTAGAAAGACCTAAATCAAATTTAAAGTTCAATTCAAAATTTATCATTATTGAATTTAAAAGGTTGTACCATGATAGGTTTTTTAATTGGAGTAGACAATTTGTGAATTTTCTGTACTCTATAAGATAATTTGTCTACGTTAAAACTTTATATGAGACTTGAAAAACTGACACTGTGGAGACAAATGAAAAATATTATTAATTATTCACTCACGATGGAGGGACTAGCATAATTATTCAAATTGACCTTTTGAACATTTGTATACCAATAAACTATTTGCAAGTCTTATGTTAGGCTTGCTTAACCATTAGGTGTTCATACACCTTTCACAATTTTACATACTTTTGTTTGAAAATGTCATATATTAAAAGACAATATTCAAATAAGGATGTCAGATGATAGTCTAGGTATACATTTTTTTTTCAATGAGCATGAGGGTTTGATCCGTCTAACGAATAGGTTAGCTCACACAAAGAGTTGTGATAACAAAAGTGCAATTATCTGTCCACACTTGACACTAACGATCAAAGACATTATTTTCTTATTTTACTTTCTTATAGGCCAAGAAATCATTGATCCATGCCATGTCCGCCATTTGCTAATTATTTTCGTTATTTGCAAGTGTGTATTGCGTAGCTATAGCAAACGGAAAGCAATGTCGTATCCCACAGAGATCCAGTCCTATTAATTAAATATCAATAATAAAATGATTAAATATTATCTAACCTAGTACAAATTTAAATGTGAATATGAACAAATAAATTAAACTACAACTAATTTACTGGGTTTCTTACGTTATAAGTTTCTCACTTCTAACAATCAAATATCTTTTCTCAGTCTCAAAGGCGATCAAAAGTATGCACAAATAATGATTATTTACTCAAACAATAAGAACAAGTATAAGAAATTACTAAACAAAAGATACACTAAAATGGATTAAATAAAAATCATATTATAAATCAATAACTCGTGTACTAAAGCATTCTAATTCCAAGTAAAATAGTCTCAAATCATTATTCTTTATTTTTTTAACGGCGAATTCATTAACTAAATCACATAATTACAACTGGCTAACTAGTCGGAATATGAGGACTACTCAAGGCAGCCTAGATACTACCACACACACTACAAGATAAATAATAAAAAAATTCCTAACAGGAGAATACACAAGCTCCCCAAGGAGAACAACATAAACTCCCCACAGAAAAATAGCACGCTTCCCCAAATGAGGAGAAAACAAAACAAAACAAATACACCAACAAAACACTCGCATGCTAACACAAATAAACCCTAAACAAACCTAAACATAACTACTAAACTAAAGCCTTCCTCTACGGCTGACGAGCAACACCAAGCCGCCACGACACCAACCACCCAAAGTCGTCACCCAACAGACTAAGACCTGATTCAAAGCACCAAGCATGAAACTGCAGCAAAGCACTAACAAGGCCTAACCTCCCAAACTCGCGATCCCAAGAGGCTAACCACCCACAGAACAGCACACCAAAGTCAGCCCAAAGCTCTACCCCACTCCTACATACAATCAAAGTACCCCTGAGGCCTAACCAACACCACCAGCGAAGCCCATCACCAAACCTCAGTAGCGACGGAGAACCAGGGGGCAGAGCACCAACGACTCCAAGCCCGAAACCCTTCGACAGCCACCAATGAAACTAGTTGATGGCCACCGGAGCAGAAACACCCACCACTTGCAGGAGTCCACCCCCAGCACCAAGGAGACGAAAAAAACAGGGAAAAAACATGAACTCACCTTGACACCGACCACCAGCTGGTATCCAGCCGAAGAAAACCCTGCATAGCCCAACATTCTTCTCGTCGGCACCTTGACAGTCCGAGCGGCAACCAAGACAACCAACAAAAACTTAACGACCGGGATGTCCTCAAAACAATGACAGGCTAGGAGGAAGCACAAGAAGACGATGGTGGATATGCGGTGGCGCGATGCACCCCGCTGAAAAAAAGGCAGCTGTGGGATAAGGAGAGAGATGACCGATTTGGGGATTAAGTTTGGAGAGAGTTTTTGAGAGAGAGAGAGAGAGAGAGAGAGAGAGAGAGTTTTTAATTTGCCTCTCCATAAAGGGTTCAAACTGCCTCAAATCTTTATTCAAAACTAAAAATGTAGCAATATAACGTTAAGCTCATAAGAAAAGAGAAAACGAAAGTAAAAGCTTATTCGGCTTCTTTGCTCGTTTTGTACTTCTTACTAGCATCCAAAGGTGCTTCATGTTGATATGTGTATAAATCACGAACTCAATAGCAAACTTAAACATATGCGCAACGGATCTAAAGGTTTGACGTATAAAATTTACGGCTTAAAATTTGTGGCGATTTGGCTGATCTTCAATTGGAATGAATTGACCGGGATGAACACACGAACACGTTGAACATAACGTCAGGCTCGCGATCGGGTCACGTGGGTCGAGTGGATCGGATCGTCAGGTCAAGGGGATGCACCGGTCGAGTCGCGGCTTCCTCCAGTTCACGCGTCGTGGCGGCGTCGGCTCCGTGGTCGCGGCTGGTCGCGACGGCTGTCTGGATGGGTCGCGGCGGTCGGCGGTCCTCAAGCTCAGGCTTAGGCTCGTGGATCTTTGATTGTTGTAGATTATCACCGGGTCTTGAATACCTATGAATCTTCCACTTTATATCTCAAACACCCTCTTCAACTTGTATCAGTGGAACAACAAGAAGAAGATAAAACTCGAACATAAATCTAAAGAGAGAGGGGCGTGCGTGTTGTATAGCACACGTAGGAGAATTATGATCTCTTCTCTTCTTTTCCATGAGCCTAATAGTATGTATATAGAGCTACAGTAGAGATCCTTAGGAGATTAGAAATATGACTCCTTAATTAAAATAATTGTGGGCCAAAATCCATTATTTTAATTAATTAAATAATATTATGAGCCACTAACATAATATTATTGCACACCCTTTTCATAGCCCAATTTAAAATTGAGGTTCCAATAATAATTACTCGAATTATCTCCCCATGTTTAAAATATAATGTCCATTAATTAATTCGATTATTGACAATCCAAAATTAATTAATTTATTATTATTTCACCGAAACTAGCGCTCGTTCATCACATTATTACTATGCCAAAAAATTTAATCCACCTGCAGGGTTTAGCATGATAATCTTTCATGAACTCAATCCCGGGACATCATCAAACTAAATGTACATGGTGACCGTAAATATCCTAATAGCACATCATACATGCAACAATATTACCCAGGATAGTAGAATTATTGATACAGATCACTAAACCTCACCCATGTGAATAAAAATAATATATATATTGCATATATATGTCTATTTAATATCTTACGAGTAAAGAGAACGCAGTAATTAACTGAGGCCTAGTTAGTTTACAACGATCAGTATAAAATGAACTGCTCCTCTCCGGGATCATGTTCAATACATAAATGTACTAGTGCAACTAATCAGTCAAGAGAAACTGTATCGTTGACACTACAACCGTTCTGATGGGGTGTTCATGTCCATCTAGGTTGTGAACCATAATTCTTGTTTCGCAAGTAACTGATAGAATGATATTCGGTTCGCCAGATGACGACCCAACCTATCTAATTGCAAAACAACATAACGTAAAACTTGTTTAATCTAACATGTTTCTCATTAATAAAGAGTAAAAGTGTAATATAATCCAAAGTCAATCTTTCAATATATAACACTAACACTTCAATACCTCCAAAAGTTGCCTTGAATGAATATAATATAGGTCGAATTCCCATAAAAAAGAAAAGAAATCATACAAAAACAACAATATGCGATCTGCCAATATAGGCCACACAAGTCGTGTGACTTGTAAACTTTGCTTGTTTTGTACTTCTTACTAGCATCCAAAGGTGCTTCAATACCTCCAAAAGTTGCCTTGGATGAGTTCCCTAGGTTCTATATATAATGCAGGTCGGATTCCCATAAAAAATGAAAGAAATCGTACAAAAACAATAATATGTGATCTGCCAATACAGGCCACACGAGTCGTGTGACTTGTGAACCATACCCACATGACTCGTGTTGTTCTTTAGAGTCTAAAGATGCTCGAACTCATCTCCATCATGAGTCGTGTGGCTTGGGCACCTCTTACACAAGTCGTGTGACCCTTCAACACCCAAATTCTTGCCTTTTGTCGTCCCCAATCATTCACTATACTTTCGTGGGCATATTTTCTATAAGAACTGACGACAATAATTTTTCCATCATTGTTTGACCATTCATATGGATAGGTTCATATTTATGATAAAACAAAATCACATAACCACTCAGTATGCACCTAAATATGACAAATATCACCCACATTGGCTCACGTGACAAATTGGCCCGCCAGCAACCTATATTGCTTTTTCTTTTTACTTGTTTTCGAAGCCTATAAATTATTTGCTACATACATTTTCTTTTCCTTAAAAAATGAGGATCAATAGTGTTCTCACTTCCCCCCATCAATGACTTGAACCCATGATCTATCGATTATAAGTGAATAGTCTTACCACTAAACTGTGCTTCGTTGTCTAATTGCTACATACTTGCAAGACATTGATTCAGCACATTAAGTATTTGTCAAAAAAACACCAAACAATTTTGCAAAAAAAAAAAAAAAATTGTCATGCAAAACACCAAAATCCAATAAATTAAATAACTAGTTCATCAATACCAAACATTCAAAGTCCAATAAATAATAATCATATTGAAATTAACTTTTTGTTACTTAGTTTTACTAGGTATATACATATCGTTTGTATGATAACTAATATTCACCTAAGAATTATTATAAATGAATTTAATACTTTACTTCAAATAACATAAATCGGATTGATAAAGATTGCGTTTGGAAAATAGCATTTTGAACTAAAAATTAGCTTTTTGAATATTTGGCTTGTTTGACTTTTCCAATCAGTTGAAAAGGTTGTTTGGTAAGCTAGCATTTTCAATCAGCTTTTTGCTCTTAAACCGGAAAATACAAAATGCTAGTCTTATGAGCGTGTTGTAATTAGTTTTTTGGCATGATGCGATGATCTAGTTTGTTGAGATTGCTGAATTGTTATTATTCCTTTTGGTGAAATTAAATGTGAGATGGACCTTCATAATACAAAATAATATTTCATAAAGCAGATTGGGGCCTGTTATAATTTGAATACATAAATGTACTCAAGTGGTATTACTCATTTTAAAATGTGTAATAGTATTAAAAATTTAAAAGTGTTTGAGTTATGAGATTATATGAAAACAAAAATATGAAAAATTTTGTTTTATTTCTTATGATTACTTATATATGTTAACAACTAATTAAAAATAAATAATTTTACCAAAGACATTTTTATAAATCGCTAATCTTATCTGTTGGTCAAAACAATTAACACAATCTATTAGTCAAAACAATTCATACAAACAAGATCAATTATGAGAAGGTCAAATTGGCCGATAGGGTGTATGCCGGCCGGGCTTGGCCCAGACAAAACTCGCACCCGACCCGAATCGACCAGATCCATTTGCATCCATATGATCCCGACTTCCCTTTCTACTTCACCGTGGCATATGAACTTCCTTTCCTGCCATATTGCCCCGCCGGCCAGCCATCTACCACCGTGGCACCGCCGTGTCAATGCTGCTGCCATGCCAGAACCCATTGGCACCCCTGGAATCTCCATCCGTCGGGCCGGGCCAATCCAAATCTTTGATTCTTAAGTATCAGTGATTGCGAGTATCAAACGGGTTGCAGAGTGTACTGGTTTTAGGTAAAATTAAGCACATCACCTTGTTCCCCTGTCCTATTTATATCTTTTCCCCTTCCAATTTTCGCTGCCTGATCGTTTAATTTCAAAAAGAACCAACGGAAATTAGCTGGGTTGTAGCTCGATTACAGAATGGATTTGGTTTTTCTTACCGCCGAAAATGTGTTTGATGCATCTTTGAGGTGATGACAAGACATACATTCCATTGAAGTTCATTAGCACGATTTAGTGGACTTCTTATGCATGAGGGTTATTATTTTCCATCATGTTTAGGGTGGGATTAATTGTTGAAACTCGAACTTTGTTAAGCATTTGCACAAGGATATAGATCTTGGTTTTATGTCTATGTACTGGAATTCTCAGCTGCTGAAGATATGCTTAAGAGAGCAAAGCTTGGGCATTGTATTTTTAAGAAGCTACTACACCCATTCCCCAATACTCTTGCTGTTTCATCTAGTGCATATGGGAGTAGAGTGAGTTTTGTTCACGACAGGGCTAATGGTAGTAATGAGGCAAAATCTGAAACCGAATGGGAGCGATTACTTAAACCCTTTGACCTTGAGGAGCTTCGTAGATCGTTCAATAAAATTACTCCATTCCAGCTGAATAAATTGCTTCAGCTCCCACTGGACGTGCACACGTTAATGGATTTGTTTCAGTGGGCAGGTAGCCAGAAAGGTTATCGTCATACTTTTGACGTCTACTATAATCTCATAGACAAATTCGGGTCCGTGAAGGAATTCAAAGTCATTGATACATTGCTTTTGCAGATGAAAGCCGAAGGAATTGTTCCAAACGAGTCCCTTTTTATCATGATCATGAGGCATTATGGGAGGGCCGGCTTGCCAGGTCAGGCCACCAGGCTACTATTTGACATGAGGACTACATTCTCGTGTGAACCCACCTTCAAATCGTACAATGTTGTCTTGGATGTCCTGTTATCCGGTAACTGCCCCAAAGTCGCCCCAAATGTTATTTACGAGATGCTGAGCAAGGGCATATCACCTACCGTTTTCACTTTTGGGAGAGTAATGAAAGCTCTTTGTATTGTGAACGAAGTCGATTCCGCTTGTTCTCTTCTTAGGGACATGACTAGGCACGGGTGTGTGCCGAACTCAATAGTGTACCAAACGCTCATACACGCACTGTCTGTGGCTTCTCGAGTGAATGATGCCTTGAAGCTACTGGAGGAGATGTTCCTCATGGGGTGCACGCCGGACGTGAACACTTTCAATGACGTTATAATCGGGCTCTGCCGTGTTGACCGCATTCAAGAGGCCACCAAGCTAGTTGACCGGATGCTTGTCAGGGGTTTTTCCCCCGATGATATAACTTACGGGGTTCTATTGGGGGGGCTGTGCAGGACGGGTCAGTTAGACGAAGCAAGATTGCTGCTGAAGAAAGTGCCAAACCCTAATGTTGTCCTGTTCAATACTTTGATCAACGGGTACGTGTCAAATGGGCAATTTGAAGAAGCAAAGGTAGTATTTGACGAGAGTGTTGCTTGTGGCGTTTTCAAACCAGATATATATAGCTATAACATTCTTATTCATGGACTCTGCAAGAAGGGGCTGCTATCCTCTGCTCGTCGAGTGGCGGACGAGATATTGCTTAAGGATTGCGAGCCGAATGTTGTAACTTACACCATTTTAATCGACGGTTTTTGTAAGAAAGGCCGGCTTGGGGAAGCTAGAGACATCATATATGAGATGTCGAGTAAAGGTCTGTGCCTGAATACAGTGGGGTACAACTGCCTAATTTCGGCTTTATGCAGGGATGGGCAAGTGGATGAGGCTCTGGAGCTTTTCGGAAACATGCCTGACAAAGGATGTAAACCCGACATTTGCACATTCAATTCCTTGATTCATGGGCTGACCAAAACCGACAAGATGGAGGAGGCTCTACGGATGTACCGGGACATGTTCCTGGACGGTGTCATTGCTAATACAGTGACTTACAACACGTTGATCCATGCTTTCCTCAGAAAACGGGGGACCCACGAAGCATTTAAGCTCGTGAATGATATGTTGTTTCGGGGCTGCCATCTGGATGAGTTCACTTACACTGGACTTATAAAAGCTCTTTGCAAGGATGGAGAGGTGGAGAAAGCTTTGGGACTCTTTGAGGAAATGTTTCGGAAAGGGATGAATGCTAATAACCTATCTTGCAATATACTGATCAGTAGTTTGTGTAGAGCCGGTAAGATGCAGGCTGCACTTGAGTTTTTGAGGGAGATGGTACACAAAGGACTGAAACCTGATGTGGTCACCTATAACAGCATCATAACTGGTCTGTGCAAGATGCAGAGAGTGCAGGAAGCATATAGCATATTTGAGAAGTTAAAGAGTGAGGGAATTTGTCCGGATATCGTCACTTATAATATATTGATTGGTTCTTACTGCAAAGCAGACCTGTTTGAAGAAGCGTATGCGCTTCTGGATAGAGGGGTGGCTAGTGGGTTGAAGCCTAATAATGTGACTTGGCACGTATTGGTTACTAATATGTTGAGAAAAGGGTTGAGGAGGTTCGGGCATTTGGAATATGCTGATTACCAATTCATTGAGATGGGTGTTGGATGAGATGGTCAAGTTTAGAGATATATGATGGAGTGTTTATTTTTTGAAGGGATATATAAATTTTAAGGATATAATTAAAAAAAAATACCTTGATATTAATCTAATTACAGTACTAGTGAGAATGTGAACACGGAGAACAAGAAAGATGAAACTGGACTATCAGTTTAGTGGTCTTCAAATTTTACTGAAAGATTTTGGATGATAATCTTATGGATAAAGGATTGAAGGACAGAGAAGTATGACATATGATCAGATGAAAAGAGCATCATAAATCCTACGGAGGATAAGGATGCTTTCTGAACCTGTTCCAAATGGTTTTTTCTACGTTATTCCTGTGAGTCTAACATTTACTCATCCATCTCGATCTCGTTGAATATTATCTTTGTTTCCAGCTTTTCATTTTGCCTTTTGTTTAAAGTTGAAAAAGAAAAGCTGTTAATTAGTATGAAATAATTGTTTATTTACCGTAATTTAGTGTTCAAATTGGGGAAGTACTTTTTTCTCAGGATTAGGAGAACCACGCTTCAGGCATAATGGCTTCCTGACATCATAGTAGTTGTGTTGATTTTTATCTTTTGCGAGGACATCAGCTCTTTACTTGAAAATCCCATTTCTGGTGATGACAGATGAATAATAATACACTCTTCAGGCTTGAAAATATCATGGTCCACTTTTGAACATTGCAGGTTATACGTTGTAGTACAATAGATGTGTGCGTGCCTGAAGTTCTATGCGCAAGCTAATGTATTGTGTTTTTGCATTTTTGTGCTTATTCTGTGGCTGCTTTGTTTGTATGGTGGATACACTACTGCCATCTATGTCTCTATATTCGCCAAATAGCGTATATGTGCGTGTGAGTGTGTGTATTCAATCAATACTCAAGATTGATCATCCAAAGAGTAACTTAAAAATTCCCTTAATAGATTAGTTCACCCTATCTTGGAGTTTATGCTAAGACTATTCTCTTTTTATTTCTTTCTCTTGGTCTTTTCACCACAGGTATGGTTGTTTCCATCAGAAAAATCTCCTTCACGAGTTGCATCGGAACTCAGTAGAAGGCGTTGTGGCTGCTTGTTAACGAGTCTGATGACAATTTGCCTCCGGCCCACAGGATCCGTATTGCCTCAAATACATTTGATACAATGGAGATGGCCACCCAGTAGGTTTCTTTAGTTATTTGCTTTATAAAGACAAAACCATAAAAATTTTGAAAGATGTATATTCTTTTAACAATATCAATGTTAATTGTAAAAGTTATTGTCAGTGTATTGTTTATTTTGAAGAGTTGCACAATATTTTTTTTTATCAAATTGTTCTAAGTCCTAATATCTTCACAATTATAACTTAATTTTTTTTTTAAAAAAAATATTATAATTTTATATTTAAACTTCAACCTTCTTACTGTAAACTCATTCAACGATTTTACTAAACCAAGTGATTAATTGGCTTGTGGGGGTTTTCTTTGTTGATTTTATTAATTCATTATATACTTTGACTTAGGTTTTTGTAGTTTAAACACTGGCCTTCAAACTTGGATAACTTCTCATATACAAGTTATTTGTGTCACGTACTATAAAAACTCAAATCAAAATCACACACGCACACACACACACACACACACACACACATATATATATATATATATATATATATATATTCTAGTTGTTGAATTTAATTACGAGTACATGAAATCTCATATATTTTTAAGTATTTTTTTAATAATTAGTGAGACTTAAATATCTAAGAAGCTTAAGAGATATAGAGATCGAGCTTTGTATCACTAAAAGATTGAATAGAATGATTTGGGTTACAAGCTCTCTTACTTATAGTGAGCTGGGGGCCTGAGTGAAATCTATTGGTCCCTCGCTCGATAAATACAGTGCTTTTTTATTTAGATTCCACTTGTTTGACTCATCTCATCGTCTCATTCTGCAGTTTTGGAATAAATATGGAGTGGCAAGTGGCCACTGGGGAAGAAAGCAATGAAGCGAACACCCACAATCAAGGTGAGATGGAGTACGAGAAGCATATATCCTTAACCCTTGTCCATGCCTCCAGAGTATGATGTTTTTACTTCTAATATTTCAGGGATAAATGACAAAAGGGCTTCTCTCGTGATTGGCCAAAAAATGAGGGGTTGTTTTGTGAATACAATATCTCGAACAGTGATAAAGTTGTTTGTCACGGTTGCATGCAATATATTAGCAGCATTGATATCATTAAAGTATGATATGACTTGCTCGTGAAAATTCTGAGTGAACCGAAACTAGCTGTGCTTTTCAGCATGGTGAGCCGACCTGGAAAGCTGTCGATTGTTTTGCAGAGGTAGGTTTATAGTGTTCTCTTTGGGCTCCAAGTTTTAGGTTGAATTTCTCCATTTCTTTCCTTTTACTTGCTGTCTTTTAACGACACCAAGGAGAAGAAACTTTACTTGATCTTTAAAATGCAGGCATTATTGGACTGGTTATTAGAAGTGCAGCTGTTTCAATTTCAATTACGAAACTAGCTAATAGTTGAAAAGTTAGTTGATAGCTTATAATAAATTTTAAGCTTTTAGCTAGGACTGGGCAAAAAATTCGAACCGAACCGCTGAATCGTAGATCTGAATCGAAATCGAACCGAATTTTCGGTTAACCGGGGTACTCGGTTTGGTTACAAATACCTCAAATGAAGTATTTGCTCGGTTCGGTTCGGTTACAGTTTTTAGGATTTTTTTACCCCGGTTAACCTAACCGAACCGAACCGAACCATATATTATATTAAAATTTATAAAATATATATTATATTATATATTATATATTATATTTATATATATTAAACTAACTTGTTGGTATGGCTATTCGCGAATTAACCGAATCGAACCGAGCAAACCTAATACAAATATATAATATAATATATATTATAAATTCGCGAATAGTAGGATTTTTTTCGGTTAACCGAAAATTCGGTTAACCGAGATTTTCGGTTCGGTTTCAGTTAGCAAGTTCGAATATTTGCTCGGTTCGGTTCGATTAGCAAATACCTCGAAAAACTCGAGTATCCGAACTGTGCCCAACCCTACTTTTAGCTTGTAGCTTATGGTTGAAAAGTTGGTCGATAATATTTGGTAAAATTAGATGACGAGTTGATTGAAAAACCAACTGACATAATAAAATATTTGATAAAATTATCTTATAAGCTAGTTGAAGCAAAAATTTGAACGTACTTATTTCATAGAGTGATGCTACATAGCCATCCTCCATTACAACATGGTTTACAACCATGTGTATGGAGGCATTGAAAAATGTGCATTATTGCATTTTTTAATGTCTCCATTACACATGATTGTAAACCAAGTTGTAATGGAGGTTGGCTAAGTAGCATAATTCTATTTCATAACTACTATATGTTTATTCTACCAAAATAAAATTTATTTAAATAAACTAGTACGTACCCCGTGCGATGCACGGTCTGTATTATTTTGGTAAAATTTATAATTGAAGGTTATTAATCAATAAATTATAATACTTAAAACATTTGTTAAGTAAACGTAAAATGATCATCATGAAAAAATCATACATTATTAAAAAGATCTTTGTTTTTCCATGTAAAATTATTTTTTACTTGGTAACCGTAAATCGATATTTACCAAGATTGCTCTCCACTTGGTAATTGTGAATTGCATAGACACCTCATTCCTTCATTTTTTTTTTGTTGATTTTTGAAATGTTACCACCATGAAATAAAACTACAATGAAAATATGTAATATTGTGATAGATACAAAAGATATAATTATCTGGTGAAGTTTAATTTTATATTGAGTATAAGGAAAATTGTTACCTCAAAGTTAAAGTGTGGATTCTGAGTATATCCTTTTTTTTGTCAATCATTCTCATTTTTATGCCAAATTCTTTCCAAAAATTGAGAGATTTTGTTTTGTTATGTTTTAACAGAGATTTAGAATTTTGGTTGTATCTTTTGTAAAGCATATTTATAAAAATAATTACGTTTAAAAAGGCAATAACGATATTTTATATCTGTAATAAAAAATAACTAAATGAATTGGAGGACATATAAATCACGGTTTTTAAATGAAAAATATGTTTCAAGGATAAAAAGAAAATCGTATATTATAACAAAAAGATGTTTACATGAGTAGTGGATTAGTGAGTCGAAAATTGTGGCAATGTTAAAAAATATGTTACCATGATTGAAATGAAATCCTTAGAATATTTTTTACTTTTAGTTAAGTTGCATATATTGCATAACTATATATGAAAAAAATAAAATATTTAAAGTTCACATAGGCAATTTATTTATATGTATATAATAAAGTGTAGAGTTCAAATAAATTTTATTTAGCATTTATATTGTTAATATTGATATACCGTGATTATTGCAAAGTTCAACTCTCATTTTTACGGTATGAATTGAATTAAAAAGATTAAATCGTGGTTAAATATCTTGGTATCATAATTATACTGTTTTTAAAAAGTATATTCCATAACATTTGGTTCCATAATACAAATGCGTTTAAATATAATTGATTCCAAATAGCCGAATTTAGTGTTTAATCAAATATTATGGAATATCTTTTTAAAAATATATAATTATTAATTTATTTTTTGTTTCTTATTTATATTTTATTTTTATTTTTGTCAATTGACGATATTTTGTTTGATCACATTGTGCACGCAGATAATTTAGTAGATATAAAGTTGTGAACTTAAAAAATATCTTATGTGGTTCACAATCCATATAAACAATTGACATTTGTCAAAAATTTATGTGATAACAACATTTATGCATTGTAAATGCTCTTATTTTGTCTTAAATAATTTCAAATATACTTCTATTCATTCCAAATAAAATTCATACTACTTAAATTCGAACATTTCGTACCAAAAATAAATCACCCACTTTATACCACAAAAATCGCACATTTATTATTAACAACACATTTTCATGAAAAATAAAAATGGCTATCATATACTTAATATGAAATCATCAACTTTATACCAAG